GGACATGCTCTGCTGGGACAGGGACAGCTCCTGCCGGGATGGGACACAGAGCAGCCGCTCCAGAGCGAGTTTTCCTCTCTATCCCTCTGTGCCACTAACACACAGATTTTTGGGAATGAGGGGGAGGTGGTGATGCTGGGGCAGACTGGTTTTCTTGGGAAGGATGGAGGCACTGGAAGTGAGCGCTCCTGCTGGATCTGACCCCGACACCATCTCTGGGCTGGGCTTTACCAGAGCTCCTGCAATTCCCAAACCTCTGCTGGATCTGACCCTGGAACCATCACTTGGTTTGTATTTTATCAGAGCTCCTGCAATTCCCAAAGCTCTGCAGGATCTGACCTGACACCATTCCTGGGTTGATTTATCAGAGCTCCTGCAATTCCCAAACCTCTGCAGGGTCTGACCAAACACCATCCCTGGGCTGGGCTCCATCAGAGCTCCTGCAATTCCCAAAGCTCTGCAGGACTGCTCCTGCAGCTCCCCTTCCTCCCATCCTGCCCTTGCCAAGCCTTAAGACCTCCCTCCTTCTGCACAGCCCCAATTCCTGCTCCTGCTCTAGGCAGTGCCCTCAGCCTGGGCTTTGCCCTGTGGCACCGACTTTCCATCTCCCTAATCCATAGGGAAGCTCCCCCGACCCTGGGAGTTCTCCCAGACTCTGAGTTTCCAGGCAGCTTTTCCACCATCCACTATCCTGCCATTTCATCCCTGTTTCCTTCATCCTTTATCACTCTCCTGAGGTTTCCTGCTCCCAGGCCTCTCCCTGCTCATCCAGGCAAGGAGCCCTTTGGTCTTCCTGGGTAAAAAAGCTCTCCTAAGATTTTCCCGCCCCTCTCTGCCCGTGCCCCTGTCCCAGATCCCCCCCCCCCCCCCCCCCCAAGCACAGTCAGTGAGGGCTCCAGGTGATTCTCCAACCCAGACATTCCCCATCCTGACTGGAAATGCAGATTCCTGGTGCATTCCAGGCTTTTCTTTATCTCCAGCCACGGCTCCTGCTCATTCCCTTCCTGTGATTCACCAGCAGGGCTGAGATTTTTTCCAGATTGGAGAAGGAACTGTTGGCTCTGGTTTCCAAGTGCACAACCCTAAACATTGTCCTCTTGGATCCCATCCCACCTCATCCCAGCGTTCCTGTCTCCCTGATCCCACAACCCTCATCTTGGAGCTCATTTGCATCAGGAGGGACAAGGCCAGTCCCTTCCCCTTCTGGTCCCATGGAGTCCTGGTTTGGGTTGGAGGGACCTCAAAGCTCATCCAGTCCCAGCCCTGCCATGGGCAGGGACACCTCCCACTATTCCAGGCTGCTCCAACTTTATCCAACCTGGCCTTGGACACTTCCAGGGATGGGGCATCCTCTGGGAAACTGATTCCAGAGCCTCCCCACCCTCCCAGGGAAGAATTCCTTCCCAATATCCCATCTGACCCTCCCTGTGGCAGTGGGAAGCCATTCCCTGTGTCCCGGCACAGTTCCTGATGGAGAGTCCCTGACCAGCTCCCTTGGCTCTTCTCCCCCGACCCTTCCATGGCTGTGCCGGGGCTGAGGGCAGCGGAACCCCCAGGAATGGGACATTTGGGGGCCATTTGGTGCCTTCTTTGCCGGAAGGAGCCAAAGGAGTCTCCAAACCCCCCGCCCTGGAGCTCTCTGTGGTCCTGCCCGGTCCCTTCCCAGCACACACGGAAAGTCTGGGAGAGAACCTGGACTTACAGGTGCTGGGATGGACAAGGGCTGCAGCAAGGAGTCACCTCCCTGAGGAGGGCTGGGCCAGTGTGGGAACTCTTGGAGAGTCATGGAATTATTGAGGC